AGCAGTTTTTTGTTAGCAGAAATTTTATTTACTATTTCTGTCAAATTTTCAATATATTCAAAAAGATGGAAATCGGATAGAATTTAGCCTATTGTTGAATTGAAAAGTTATTAGGAATAGAAGGGTTGTTTAGCTTTAAATAGTACTAATAATCGCATACTACTATAATATATATATCTAAAAAATTTTAAACTGATTACCGATCAGATAATTCGGATGATGGATGTTGAATTATCCGGAGTTTGAGTTGAGATTCAATCAGGTTGAGTCTTCTGGAGTTTGATTGATATCTTTGAAAATGGTTAGGATATACAAGTTTGCATTGAATGATCATTGGAAATTAAGATTGTTGTGAGATTTTTATTGAGGAATTTATGAGTCATTATTGGGGAAAAAAAAGTTTCTATCAGAAGTTTTTATGCTTTTCTTAGTATAACTTATGATAAGTTATCATACGTTAAAACTTTTAATTGAAGTTAAACTATCGAACACTTTCCCACGTTATATATGTTAAAAGCAGCTTTAATTGCCTTTAATTAATGAATTTTAGATTGGATAAGAGAAAATTAGATAATTAAAAATCTCACATTAGGATGGCTATGAATGCCAGCTTCTTTTTTCCCTTTGATTCTTGGGTTAAAATTTACCCGAAATTTTAGAAATAATTTAGCTAATCATTTAGAATAATTATCATTTATTAGTGAAATCGATAGATATTACTATGAGAGATGTTTTTATTTAATATGAACAAGTGATTTCGGAATAATATGGCAGAATTGAATGTTACTAGGATGAATCCTCGAGTACAGAATTTGCAAAAATCATCAACATAAATAAAATTTCCCTTACAGGTTAAGTATTACTTATCTTTATCCCTTTGACCCTTTTGATCAATGTCACAATCAACTGTGGACTTTTTAAAAATTTTACTCGACTAACGAAAAAGTGAATAATTTAACTGTCTGTTGCTGTTTCGTTATGCTGTAAAATTTCGCTCAAATATTTGATCACGATACTGAAACATTAGAAAATTAATGGACAGCAACTATTTTTGAAAAGTAAACTTTGATGGCTAGCAACTAGATGACATTATCATCTAGTATATAAAACAAGGTCGTTCAATCACTGTTATCCTACTTTTGAGAATCTCATAGGGGATCGTATTTAGTACATGATCAATCTACTTTTAACATATGTGTTGTACAAAATGATCGGACAAGTGGGGTTTGAAATGATTGAAGAAAAGTCACTAGTTAAAGGACGATTAAATTTAATTAGCTAGTTTAAATGTTAAAATTTAAAGAGTGTAATTTTATGGAAAGATACTATTTTTGCTAAATCTGAAAGTAAATAAATTTATATAAACATCCCGATTATGTACTACGCTTTTTAATATTTTTTGCTGCATTCAGTTCAAATTTTAGTTTTTCTTTTTCTATCCTGCTTATAGGTAGCATCAAAAATGGTCGGTCTTCGTATAAATAAGCATGCTGTTAAAATTTTACGGAAGTTCGGATTGAAATGCTATGAACAATTCAATAGTGTGAGAGCAACAACGATCCCATGCACGCAGCATTTTTCTTGCTATTCAACAAATCCGCAATCACTGATTATGGAAAATCTTTTCGAATACGTATTATATTTTATTTCTCATTTTATTTGTTGTATTTACATATACATTTGCTTATTTATCGCATCCTTAACTAATTTACAATATATTGATTCTTATTTTCAGAAGGTAGATTTTCTTTTTTTTTTTGAAGTTAGATTTGTATCTTATGAATTTGTCGACTTTTGACTGGTGTTGGATGGATATCCGAGAAAGACTGGAACCGGTATTTATGAGCACTGTTTAACAGAAGGAGTAAGCCTCAATTGGCAGAAATCTTGAAATTTGGATAGATAGCTTTCTTGTTTTCAAATAACGCGAGAGTATTAGTGAAAACAAAACAATAATAACTAAGTGTTTTATGTAAATTTGATACTGAAAAGAAAAAGTTTTTGTTCCGATTAAAATTTTGAAATGAAATATCTGATTGTAAAAAGTTTTAGAGAAATCGTCAATTTTAGAGAAATCATCAATTCATATCTGAAAAAGCTCGCGAATTCATCGATGAAAGTGTAAAATTGATGAAACCCAAAGAAGTTCATATTTGTGATGGGTCAGAGGAAGAAGCTGATCAGCTTATTCGACAAATGGTTAAAGATGGAATGCTGAAAAAACTGAGAGCGTACGAGAATAACTTTATTTGCAGAACAGATCCGAGAGTTAGTTGTTTGCTTTGGTTGTTCAGAAATCCTAATAATAGTTTTCTCAGAGAAGCAGATTCTTGGTGGGATTTGAATTTCGAATTTACAGGTAGTTTGTGTGTAGAATTTTTAACTTCAATGAATGATCTTGTTGGTTCTTGTGATGGCATTCTTGTTGTTTTATTAGATGATGAATGTGTGCTTCAATATTTCTTGAAAAAAAGAAGTGTTAGAGCTCAATTTCCAAGGATATTACTTTTTACAGGATGTTGCTCGTGTAGAAAGTAAAACATGGATGGTAACAGCAGAAAAATTTGACTCAGTATGTCATACAGCCGAGGGGGTAAAACCGATTATGGGTAATTGGATGTCACCTGAGCAGTTTAACAATGAGAAAAACTTGCGATTTCCAGGTTGCATGAATGGTATGCTAAAGAACAATTAGTTTTTTTTGAAGCTGACATTTTTATATCTTTTCAAACCTTTTACTCATGAATTATTGATAGGATCATTTCAGGACGAACAATGTATGTGATTCCGTTTTCCATGGGTCCAGTTGGTGGACCAATTTCAAAAATTGGAATACAGGTTTTTGAAATTTCTTTGTTTCGTAAGATTTGATAAGATTATTCTACTCTTAATGGTCGTGAAATCTATTTGATTAAGTAATTTTACCACATGTAAATTAGTTCCACACATTTCACTTCAGCATTAATTCCACGTTTGCAAAATAAGCATCTCGTTAGAAAGTTGTCCCTCATCATTTACATTGTTTATTGTTCCATATTCTACGTCCATTTTCTAGGTAACCGATTCCAGTTATGTTGTTCTTTGCATGCGAATTATGACTCGTGTAACGCCGAAAGTATGGGAAGTACTGGGAGATAACAGTTTTGTAAAATGTATTCATTCTGTCGGTGTTCCAGAACCAGTTAAAGGTGTTTTTTTCTCTCTCTCTATTCTTTGCTTAAATCATTTGATATGGCTTAGTATCACTTCAGGGGAAAGGAGTGGCAAATTTTTGCAATTTCTGTTTTTGATTAAGCTAAGCAATAGTTAATTTGGAGATTTTTTTTGTTTCGAGTTTATAATATCATTTTTAAAATATGAAATATTTAGAAAACCAACTGCAAATATTTATGATGAAATAAACTAGGTCTTGTAGTTTTTGAAGTCCTTTTAAGAAATCCTTTTATCTTACAACTACCATCAGCACATCTAAATACATGATTCCTAAATTGCTTGGAATTTGTCTTACTTCTTTCAGAAAAATTGGTAAACAATTGGGCATGTAATCCGACGAGAACGATTATAGCACATCGTCCGACACAGCGTGAAATTTGGTCTTTTGGCTCCGGTTATGGAGGTAATTCGCTGCTTGGAAAGAAATGTTTTGCATTAAGGATTGCTTCAAATATGGCTAAACAGGAAGGCTGGATGGCAGAACACATGTTGATTATGGGTAAATTTAACTGTATTTCTACATTTTAGAATTCATACGATTATGTGGTTTCATCAGTTTCGGCAATTTACCGACTCCATTTCAAAGCAAAATTGCAAGGAAAAGCTCAAAAAAGTGCTTTGTTTTCTGGAGAAAAATGAATTTTTAGGAGTAACACCACCGAATGGTAAAGAACGCTTTCTTGCGGCTGCCTTTCCTTCAGCTTGCGGTAAAACCAATCTCGCGATGTTAGCACCAACTCTTCCGGGTTGGAAAGTACGATGCATCGGTTTGATTTAAATTGCCTCTTTAAATAGGGGAGTTGAGGAATTTCTTTTTGTGTTTTCTTTTCCTTACTTTAAAATTATTTCCAGGTCTTTAAGAAAAATAATTCCAGATACTTTTGCTAAATTTATTCAGGTGATGACATTGCATGGATGAAGTTTGGTAATGATGGTCGATTATACGGAATAAATCCAGAAGCGGGTTTTTTTGGGGTTGCACCAGGAACATCGAATAAAACTAATCCGATGGCTATGGCATCGTTCCAGAAAAATAGCATTTTCACAAATGTGGCTGAAACTGCTGATGGTGAATACTTTTGGGAAGGATTGGAAGGGGAAATCAAGGTCTGTTTATATTGTAGCCTAATTTGTTTGATCCAGAAAATATTTTCCTAAAATATTTACTGATAAAAAGAGTTTATCTTAAAACATTATATAGATAAGAGGATGTCATTGTTGCATAAACTACCATAACTGACTCGTTTCATTTCCAGAATCCAAAAATTGATATAATCAACTGGTTAGGCAACAAATGGCACATTGGTGATGAAGGTCAAGCTGCACATGCCAATTCTCGATTCACCTGTCCTGCCAGTCAGTGTCCAATTATTCATCCAAAATGGGAAGAACCTAGTGGTGTACCAATTGAGGCATTTATTTTCGGTGGAAGAAGGTTAGCTTGGGAATTTGTGGTACAATGTGAAAATTGCGTAGTATTGTAATAGCATTACTTTTCTGGAACTTCTTAGGATGGAAAATGCCCAAAGTTAAATAGCAGATGTTGTCTTTAAGCCTCCCTCAAAAATTAAGTCGTAAGAGTTTGTCCACATAAGTTTTTTCTTTCTTTATTATTAGAAAAGCAAAAAAAAAAAAATAATCGATGAAGCTAGAGAATGTTGATTATACGGGTTATAAGATTTCTTCGATTCTTTTCCTTCTGCTGAATTAATTGGGGAATTCTTCAGTCCTACTGATAATTTAAAATTTTAAGAACAATTAAGAAATGTATTAAAAATATTAAAATCTGGTTATTTTCTCCACTTATTTTCATTGTTGACTATCCAGCTTTCATTTGGTTTGAAAAAGTTTGCCGTGTTAGAAAAAGAGTAGAATCCGTAAAAATGAAAATGCTGGGACTTAGATTCTTTTCCAACAGGAATGTGAATTACAGGCCCGAAGGTGTACCGCTGGTGTTTGAGTCATTTTCGTGGCAGCATGGAATTTTTGTAGGTGCATGCCTGAAGTCTGAAGCAACAGCTGCAGCTGAATTTAAAGGAAAAGTAGTAATGCATGACCCGATGGCGATGCGACCCTTTATGGGTTATAATTTTGGTAAATATCTCCAGCACTGGCTAAGTCTCAATAATGGCTTTCATAAGGTATCATTTATAAATTTTTTCGGATTTCCATTCGAAAGAATTAATGCACTAGAAGCTAACCGGAGTCCTGATGGCCATTTTTCTGTAGGTTTTTTGGTTTTATAAGGTGAAATATATGTATATCGAAAGTGTAGCGTGTGCATAAAACGGTCTTAAATCCTTTGTCATTTCTTCCCGTCACTTTTTAATTTAATGCTAAACCTTGAAAATTGTTTTGTTATGTTGGTTCATTATAATCTGTTATACTACAGATCTAATCAGTTCTTATAATCACATCTATATTATAATATTTTCTCGAAATTTTTGTCTTCATAGGTCCCGAAAATTTTCCATGTTAATTGGTTCCGTCGTGATAAGAGTGGTAACTTCTTGTGGCCGGGATATGGCGAAAATGTTCGAGTAATTGATTGGATAATTAGACGTCTGAATGGTGATGAGTCAATTGGACAAAAAAGTGCTATTGGTATCGTACCTAAAGAAAATTCGTTAAATCTTGAAGGTCTTCAAAATATAAACATAAAGGAATTACTAAGCATTCCGAAGCAGTATTGGGTGGAAGATATTGAGGAAATCAAGAAGTTTATGGAAGAACAGGTAAAAGCTCTGATTTCTTTGTTTCAATATTTTGAAGAGATAATCTTTTAGTTCAGTTTTTGCAAATTTTTTTTCCCGAATGTTTTAATTTTGTCGTTTGTTCTTTTTTTTTACATAGCAGCAAAAAAAGTAAAGTTTGGGAATGTCAACTTCACTTCGCATGTTATGTTAGTGCGCGGTATTTGTATATCAGGAAATGCAAAAGATTTATTTATCCTTTCGCTGTAACTATAAATAGAATGGGGTACCAAACAAACGAATCAGTAAGGTTGTATGGTTGTCAAATCATTCTATATTTGCAAAGAAAAACCAATGAAAAATGTTTTCATCATATCAAAACGTATTTTTTCAAGTCATTAATTAGAACAGTAATTTGTCATATCCTTTTTTGAGAATCATCTTAGTTTCTTTCCCTTTCTCGATTTTATGAATTTTATATGAGAGTAGCAATCTTGTTTTGTGCTGAAATTGCTAACCATCCCACTCTTTCAGGTCGGATCAGATTTGCCGCAGGAAATTCAAATCGAAATGGCGGAACAATTTAAAAGGATTGCAGCGTTGTAATTTAATTGCGAAAACTATACTTTAACACTGGTAATCCGCTTTATCCGCTTCCTCAGGATCTATTTTTCAAGAAAAATGGTTAATTTTAAATCTGATGACTAACAGTTTGTTTTCAAAATTTGCAATACTCAAATTCAACTTTATTCATTGCATTTTCTGAAGACGATTTTCCGAGTTGGTTATATTTCAGTAATTAATTGGAAAGTTAGAAGAAATAGTAGTCGCTGGATCCTTTTTGTTAGAGCCTTTTCAAGCTTCTGATTCAGGAATTTCAGTTTCTCACAAATCACTTATACCTAACGAATGTATCAGTGATATAGCTCGTTTTCTTGGGATATCTTGGTTTGATTGTTTTAACAATCCACACTTATTAATTAAAGTGAACGTGTAGCCATATGACGTAAGCGAATAAAAAATCAAATACCATCCAAAATAGTGTTATCAAACATCAATCGCGGAGTAATCTTTAATGTCTATCACAATCAATCAAACATCAATTCCCCTCGTCAACTCCAATGATTCCCTTACGATGTTATAAATAATCAAAGAGCCTACATAGATCATCCAGCACAAAATGTATGCTATATCTTCTCATACTTGGCATACGTAAGAATATATTACATTTCTGGCTATTTGTAAAAGCACGCGTTCCTTCGACTGTCGTACACATTGCAAATATAATAGATTTGAACTCTCAAATATATATTATATTGTCTTCTTGTCATTACTAGAAAATAAAAGTTTCAAAATGGAATAGAAAAAACAGAAAAAAAAGAAAAACACTTTAAATCTTTTCAGTTACATTTAATGCAGATTTTTTATGAAACGATAATTTCCGAAATTATCGATTTTATCAATAGATCAATGTCATTTTTGTTCATTTCATCGCTCAGTTCGTTACTATCATTCACTTTTTGGCGAATAAATGGATGTCTCCAAGGAAATTTAGTAAAATTCGAGAAAATTCCACTTTGTAATTCAAAAAAGCATACCCCATGTAATGAATTTATGCGTGCTGCAAATATGCAAATATCGATACATCCAAGGAAATGAATGGAATCATTTGGAGTAACGTCATCGTGACAAGCTGTATATTACATGAGAAATGAAATATGAAGTAATATCTCTTTCACCAATAATATAACCCCATATCGTTTACCTTAACTCCATATCGTTTATCTTACCTATTCCCCTATTACTTTTCTAACTTTTTTTTTTTATTTTGCTTACTGACATCGCTATATTGTTAGTTAATGAATTTGACCAGGAGAAAGGTCTCTCAAAAGAAAGAGCAAAGGTCAAGAGTTAGGAAAAACGGGGAATACTTTAGCTGGTCGGGCTGTTTCAAGATTTTCACGAATTTCTGCAGTATCACATTACCATTGACATGCTGTAGCTGTTAGATGCTTTGACGTAACGATTCTGCTGATAATGTTGCTGACTTTAACACATTGAAGTTATTTTCTTTGATAATACTGGAAAAGTGCTGCTCTATAAGAGGAAGTATCTCTCGGAGATTAAGGAAATTGAAATGAATACTAAATTACTTAATGATGACGCTACTATACGTGAAATAGAATGAAATAGAATTTCCTTTTGAAAAAGATTTGCAATTAGAATTGGTGCTTAGTATGATTTAATCAATTTAATAAATAGGTGTGCTTGATGAATGTCTTATACAGAGCTTTATGCCTTTGTACTAGTTGATCGTCGATTCCTGCAATCACTGCTGGATGGTTCATTGGAGAATAAGTTCACAGATAAACAAATTATTTAAAATAAAGCAGAATTTATTTTTTATAAAGCAATTTTTTTTTATAAAGCAATTTTTTTTATAAATTTTTTTTATAAAGCAATAAAGCAATTTATTTTTTTTCAGTAATTTAGCATTATCATTATCAATACATAACATACCTTTCATTTAGTCTAATACCAAGATCCTTTATCAGTGTCTCAGATTCAGATTCATCAAAAAGTTAGTCTGATTATTGATAACCTAATGAAACAAACTACAATTTTTTCTTACCTTGTACGGCGCTGTTTTTCAGCAGAAACAGTGTCGGAGACAGTATCAAAATTTGAGGTATGAATAAAAGAATTGCGAGAACTGGCGAAAATGTTCGAATAAATGTTTTCTTGTAACTGTATGTTTCACAAATAGATGGTAACAAAATCGCTACGTTTTGAAAACATTTGCATACACGTAAACATGAATGCGTTTTCACGTGTGCTTTCATATTCACGTCTGTATTCACGTTTATATTTACATACGTAATAGATTCAACTTTTACATCCATCAGTGTTTCGAGTATTGTTCAAGTATATGATGGTTCAAAGTTTTCAGTGAAAGTTCACTACCTCACTTGTTGATGA